AGGAAGGCTGGAAGGCTGGAGGGCTGGAAGGCTGGAAGGCTGGAAGGCTGGAAGGCTGGAGGGCTGGAAGGCTGGAAGGCTGGAAGGCTGGAAGGCTGGAAGGCTGGAAGGCTGGAGGGCTGGAGGGCTGGAAGGCTGGGAGGCTGGAAAACTAGAGGCCTGGAAGGCTGGAAGGCTGGAAGGCTGGAGGGCTGGAAGGCTGGAGGGCTGGAAGGCTGGAAGGCTGGAAGACTGGAAGGCTGGAAGGCTGGAGGGCTGGAAGTGGAGGGCTGGAGGGCTGGAGGGCTGGAAGGCTGGAAGGCTGGAGGGCTGGAAGGCTGGAAGGCTGGAAGACTGGAAGGCTGGAAGGCTGGAGGGCTGGAAGTGGAGGGCTGGAGCGCTGGAGGGCTGGAAGGCTGGAAGGCTGGAGGGCTGGAAGGCTGGAAGGCTGGAAGGCTGGAGGGCTGGAGTTCTGGAGGGCTTGGAGTGAAGGAGGGCAGTAGATATTTAGACTTCCGGATTTAAACAGGTCTTTTACACTACCTCTGTCATCCTTGGGCCTGGGCCGCCCTCCACATATTTAAAAAGCGTCACCGTTGACTTTGAGTCTGCTGCCTGGTGATGCGAACGCATTACATGCCGCACATTGTCCTTAACTAACCGCCAAGCCCATCAACGGCAGCCTCGCGGCGCCAGGATCTCTGCTACAGGCTCCAGGCGGAGACTCGGCTGTCCAGGAAGGCCCAGCCAAAGTTGCAGCTGCTCGGCCGAAAGCGGTAAAAACTCTGTGCTTGCTGTGCTTGATGACCTTCTCGGGTTGTGCAAGCAGAAAGTTGTGCACCACAACGATGCATTCGGGAGCCTCTGGCAGGATCCAAGCTCTGCTGTGCAGGAGGCGGCGAGAACCAGCCCCATGATTCATCGCTGGATTTTGTTGAGATATACAAGTCCCTTAAAACCTTACTGGATCCCAGCTGAAGCAAGTGATCGAACTTTGCATACAGTTCTATCCGCAGCATGCAGTCTGCGCGACATAGCGGTGTCTTCCTAATGTGCCTCTTGAGCGCGAAACACTCCGAAGTAGGTGCACATCAAAGGACGTCTGCAGCTGCACAGGCCAAACTGCGCCTGGGGACTCTTCCGGACCCAAGAGCTCGCTGTCGCCTCGAGCAGGTCGGCATGATGCAGTTTAGAATTTAGTCCATCTCTGAATGACCCTTACGAGTGTGCACGCAAGTTGAAGGACACGCGGCTGAGGCGGTCACACACCGTCTGGGGCGCTGCTGACAACAGGAAGGCGTTGCCCAGGTATTTGCCGATCCTAGGCCATGGTGGCCAGGTCCGTCGAAGCCGTGATCGAAGTGAGCGCAATCGGCCGCGACAAACCAACATGATCAGCTTCAGAAAATGCGTGCAGAAGTAGGTGTCGACTATTTCCTATTCCAACTCCAGAGTGAACGCACCGGCGAGGTTTGAGGAGACGACGGGCCCCGTCGCAATGCACTATAAGGTGAAGTGATCTGCTTCTCCAGGAGCTGAGCAAGTTCCTGGAGTTGAATGTCGCTTCTTGCACTCCATGGAAACTCGCGTCGTCTGAGCAGCCGACTAAGCCACTTCGCGAGTCTGTGTGAGAGCGGGGCCGCATTAGGAACCTCGGCCATGCTTTCGCTGGAGTTGATGCATGCACACAAGCAGGACTCCCACTCCGCGATGATCGCAGTCGCACTGCCATTTGTGACATTCACGACCTCCACCTGAGTACATGGCCATGCGCACTGTCACCTTGTGCCCTCTACGAGGATCTGGCGCAGTTGCCATGTGCTGGCAACCCCAACGAGGAACACACCTCAAAGCGCGAAATATTTGGCCGCCCCCCCCCCCCCCCCCCCCAATTGCTCCCATGCGCCCCGTCCCTGCACAAGAACCTCAAACTGACGAGGCCGGGGATGGTACGCTTTTGCAGAAGGAATGCCGAAACCCCGGCAAATCCTTGGCCACAGTGCGTACAGACGCATCCAGCTCTGAGCTTACGAACTCTTTCTGGCCTGCCATCTACACACACGCACAGGTTGGCATACTCTGGTCCTCTGTTGACATGTCTGCCGATTCTGGACCGCACTTTACTTCTGCATGGGTTGGACCCGCTGAAAGTAGCTTCGAACTGAGTGGCGAGCCTTTGCAATGGACGAGAACTCGTGGTCTTGCATTATCAGCCACCGATGCCTGAGCCCACTTTTCCAAAAGGTTGCATGGCAAAACCTGTTTCTTGGATGTGGTGGACGCCAAACTCGCCACGTCTTGAAGGCGGCGAACATGAATACATACCGACTCTGGGTCGACATTCACTGATGAACACTTGGATACCTCGAGAAAGAGGCGTATCGGCGTCTGGAGTTTGCGGCCTTCCCAAGCGTGCGAGACTGCGGAATTACATCACCTCGGCAGTGAAACGTTATCCTCGCTGTTGCGAGTGAAGTTGTCTGCCGTTGTTGCAGTTGCCGTCCTTTCCTTCTACAGCCTTCACCGGCATTGCGCCGGGGTTGGCTTTCCAGTTGGGCTTGTTTTGTTTCTGGTGCGGTTCTTCCTGGGCTACGAGCCGATGTGCGATAATACAGGGACTGCCAGTACTGTATGAGCCGGTGCCTAGGTAGGCTCCTTTGACCGACTTCGGCTTGTCTTTTTCTTCAACTCTGAGCCCACGGCACTGTGGCGTCCTGCAGGAGTATCCATTTCATCGCTGGGATCACATACACGGCTGTGTAAGGAAGAGGACCGGGAGTCTTGCAAAATCATGCTGTAAGCTCCCAGCCAGATCACCATATGCATCCTCAGAGAAGGAGCGCTGCTATTGGTGCCAAGTGCGTGTGGCACCAAATGAAAACGAGCTTCATCATCCACCACGAAGTTGTCAGTCTCTTCCAACCGGCGCCTCGGAACAAGTTCTAACTATAACGAGCAAGCCACAACAGGAATCCGTGCACAGCAGCATGTTGAGTTTGAGAGTGTCGCCATATTCATGATTGTGCGCTTCCCGATCCCACCCCTGATCCCCAGGTCAAGGGTCAAGGAACCCCCCTTGGGTTAGGTGGGCTTCTTTAATTCCCTTTCTCACCTTCTGGGCAGGAAATTTTGGCTTGAACCCACCTTGGCTTGTGGTCAACAACAGCATCTGTCACGAGGATGGCCTCTCCAAGGACCCCCCCATCCTCTGGGACTGTTGCCCTTTTCGATTTTCTCTTGCAAGGTCGAGTCCAAAAACAGCAACTCTCACGTGGATTCCGACTCCAAGCCCCGCCAACCCCGTATCTTCGCAAGGTCTGCGGGCAGAAACGACACTTCCCGCGAGGATTTCGTCCTGGCTCATCGGACCACAGAAACACGAGACGCCTGACCATACAACGCCCGGCTCCGGAATACGATTTTATCGTTTCCTTGCATGTCGAGTCTTCGGGTTTTGGCCTCACCTGCACAAACACTGCTGGAACTTCGCTATGCCATCTGGCAGGACGCAGCGCAGGGTTCTGATCGATTGCCTCCTGGCACAAACCATCGCTAAAGATGTTCTCATCGGGGGCTGCTGTGCTTAACGGGTGGTGCATTTATCGCGCAGTTGTCAGAACAACCGTCACGCTGATGACGGCAGAGACTTTGACAGATCGTTGGTGCGTCATGCACATGCAACAAGCACAGCTCACAGTAGCTCCTTTCAGCCTTTCAGAGGAAGATCTACAATGTAGATTCTACATGCATGGCACTGAATCGGCTCCGGACGTCCATGCCAAGTGTTTCTCTGCAGGGTTGGCCTCGGAGCTGCCGCAAGACCCATGCTGAGCACTGTACTGCTGCCTGTTTGAGAACTCTGCACCGGGAGGCAAGAAGTCCTTTGGCTCCTTCTGATCCTTAGCCAGACATGCGGCTGCGCAATGTTGCGCACCTGACTCGTTTTTGACTACTCAGTAGATGCTCCCCACTTTCAATCAAGCTGTCGGCTCTGTCGCGGCGGACTGATTGCACATCCTCCTCATCGGCAGGCGACTTTAGAGTCTGCATGCTCATGCTAGAATGAAGCATGCATGACCATCCCGAGCTCGGTCTGCGGCCGTTGTTGCGGATCGCCTTAGCTTCGATGCAGCAAGCTTCTACCCGGTTCCAAGTGCTTCGAAACTCAGTCGAGGTCGTCAGAGACTTCTGGGTGCTCGCCCAGCCTGGAGGGGGCCTGGAAAGTTACGGATGCTCCATTGAAGCGCGAAGTAAAGCCCGCTGAGTACCCGGCGGAGGCTCTGTGTCTGTCACGGGCTCTGTTGTCAACGGCAACGTCTCGTAGGCATCCCGGATCTCAGGGTGCCATACTTTCACACGAGCAAAGCGCTTCCCACCTGAGGCCGGAGCAGACGGTGTCAGTATCCGGTCAAGCTCCAGCTGTCCGATAACCTCTTGTGATGACTACGCCGAAAGCGCTTTAACAGATTCATGTCCTTGCTCAGGATCCTGGGTGCACCACGCGTTCTCGCTGGAAGGCTTCCTTGCTTCCGTATATTTGGACAGCCTCGGCCTTTGCCAGCAAAACGGGCAAATATATTGCACAGCTGGCTTCCAACACGGACGAAGCTGCAAGAAAGGCAGCAGTTTTGGCCGTTGAAACATCGCGTGGTCAATCAGACTTCGAATTGAAGCTTGAGGAAGGAGACCCATGACCTGCACCGGGAGGTTTCCGAAACAAGGACGACATGCCCCCCTGATTTCCCCTGCCTGCGACGACGTGGCCGAGGGACCCTACAGATAGTTCTCGAGAATGGACGCAGGTGCCGTGCACCGGAAGCCCAAGCATCGCCCCTTGGCCTTCCGAAGTAAGCATTTCGTGAACATGCAATACCCAGAGCTTTGCCCCAACACACCCCTTGCCTCTGGGTGCCTGCCTCTGCGATAGCTGCTGCGTGCGAGCCTGTCACAGCAGAGGCTGTCGATCAAAAAAGCCAATTGGGTGGCTGTGCAGGTTTGTCCTTTGTCTCCTCATGACTACTACTGATACTACTACTACTACTACTACTACTACTACTACTACTACTACTAACACACGAGAACCGCTTCAGAGGCCAACTCAGCTTAAGGTAAACGAAGCGACGAATCATCGGACCCAGTCGAAGGAGGCCCGGTTCAGCGTTGAGGAGCCGGGCTGTCAGCAGTGGCCAAAGCTGCAACACGACATGATGTCAACGACGGTCGTGAACTCTTACAGATACACACGTCATTCGTGCGAAAGGCGAAGATGTATGAGAAGGGCAAAGCAATGAACACCTTATATCTGAAGGAAACAATGGCCACATTTGCGGCCCAGATGCGATGCGGGGCCTACCCAGCTTCCTCCCCGTTCGCTCTTGAGGGCACCTTCTTCAGAGTTCCAGGCATCGGCTAGACTCGCTTCCGTTGCGAGGTAGAAGTTGCTGTGGTACGTGTCACGACACCACTGCCACACATTGCCAGCCATTCCTCTGAAACCGAAGGGAGATATTCCCAAGCATGCATTCACTCCCACGAGGGGTAGCTCCTCCAAAGGAGCGGCGACATGGGCCGCCATGTTACCCTTGTTGTCGTATGCGCTTGTATCCCAGCAAACATTCAGCAACTCGGCCGTTGCTTCCTCGTTGCCCCATGGATACTGTAGCGGCTCGGCACCACGGGCAGCGTACTCCCACTGAGCTTCTGTGGGCAGAAAGCTCTCTTTCGCACTTTTGTAGCCGTGCCAGTCGCGGCCATGTGCCTGACACCGAGATTTGACAAACTCTTTTGTGGACCAATCAGCAATACCGGCTGCATTTCGAATCTTGGGGGTGTCGAGCTCAAGTCTGGGCGGCTGAGTGACCCGATGGAATGAAAACAGAATGCGAAGCGATGGAGCACATCTCCATCTACATGCAGGCACAGAGGGTCTACCAAACGGTAGGGCTACTTCATGCTACTGCCGCAAGAACCCTGAGTGTTGCCGGGGTGCCCAGAGTGCGTAGGCATTGGCACCATACCAGGACACAAGGATCATTGGCCAGTTTGGGGGCACTCCAGGCTTCACCTCTCAGTCTCACAAGGCACAGGCACTCGTCTTCAGCAAAGGCCTACAGATGCAGAACCCTGGCCTGCCAACCACTCTCCGTGAGTGTGAGGGGTATGTGGCAGCATCTCGCATCTTCAGCTGGCAGAAGGCACCAGTCAAAGAGCTCGTCCTGTGTCGGCTTGGCGGCATTGAGGAAGCGTGCATAGGCACCCATGCTCACGGGCTCAACATCCATCAGGAAGCTGCTCAGGTGCACTGGATGACTCGGGCCCTCATTGTCACGCTCGCTCTGCATAGAGTCGTCTCCGATGCGGACTTCACCGCCTGGGACCCGTATGCATTCCATGCCATCGGTCGCGCGTGAGAAGCGAAGTCCTGAGGCGTCGATCCCCCTGTAGGGGGTCGACACGGCAGCCACCGCTCCTGCAGTGATCTGTGTAAAGGGCGCCATGTCATGACCGGCATGCGGATGTGCGGTGCTCTGACTTTCGAGGCTCTTTGTCCTTTGAGTCTTTGGCAAGTCCACAATCGCCTGTGAAAGCTGTTCTATGGTGGGATTGTCGAAGACCAGCCGTGGGTCGATGTCAACCTCTGGAAATTCACGCCCAAGCTCGAAGGCATCCATAATAATGCACCTGGAATCTCGTCGTGTAAGTATGTTGTCAGATGGTCGCAGAAGTAGCTCTGGATCATCCGGGTCGAAATCGTCCATTTCTGCCGCTGGCTCCTCCTCTGCAGCGTGCCCAGCACGCTCGTTGAGGATGCGAGAGACGCGCTGCAAAACACCACCAAGAACAGATTGCGCTTTTTTCTGCATCTCCGCCTCGGAGATCTCCATGGCTGCCAGTGGATGCTTTTAGCAGACACAGCCACTTGAGCCGTAGAAGTTATGCAATCTGCATGGATAGGGGTAACTGCCTGACACGTGCATCTGAACGATACCAATTTAACAAGCAATGTTGCCATTCGATCAAAGAAAGGCTTCACTCTTAGACAGACACTGAGCTGTTGCACCAGGGCTCGTGCGTAGGGCGGGACAAGTTTCTCTAGCTCAACCATGAGCTGCGGTGTCACCTCCCACAGGGCTGGGATATTGGCCTTTTCAAGGCCTAAGGCCTACTGGGTCTTCTGGCACCCGCCTCCTTCGCTTTCGCCACAGCGCCTGGCCGACGGTATGGCACTTCCCAGGGCTCTTTGCACGCCCGCTTCGTGTTCTTGAGCTGTTCTGCTTACTGATTGCATGTACCAGGAAAGCTTGGATTTTTCCACGGTGAATCTACAGTGCAGCGCCTGTAACTTTGCCAAGCACTGTCAGCACCATCAGGCAGATCGAAGCGATCTCGGATCCGGTGCCTGCACGCCACGTTGCATCTGCGAGTATTTCCAGGGCATAGCAAACCGAACATGTCGCTTTGATGCTGGGTGACTGCCCGTTCTGAGCGAATTGCAGCGGCTTCTCGCTGTTGGCGCGGGTCAGTCATAGCTGAAGAGCACCGACAAATACCGACAGGCTGCCCGGCTGCCCCCTTGCCTAGACCTCGCCCAGAGGCATCGAAAACGGCATGTAGGAAGCGTGCCTGCTTCGATTAGCTGGAGACATGGCTAGAGTTCGTTCCAGACCTCCGCGTCACTCGCCTTCTCGTCCAGGAGTGCCGAACTGAAGACACACGCCACCGTAAGGAGCTCGTTGATGCTGCAGAGCCTCGGGCTCCAAATGGCCGGTCCAACTTGCAGAGCCCTGAAGCAGAATCACAAGCCATTGGCAAGGGCTTCGGGGGACAGCTTCAAACACGACACAGAACGCCGTTGCGGCCCAGACTAAGCCACAAGCTCATTCTGCTGACTGAAGATATCCCAGAGGAAGAGCATGCTAGGCCTCGCAGCAGAATCTATCAATGGGATCTCTGCAGCGTCATCCGGGATTTGGATCCCGGATCCCACTCTGGGCACCGGACGCTTTGAGGCAGAGAAGGTCCTGCACCCTCAGCCCGACACAAACTACGCTCCCCCAAGTGGGGGAACGACTAGCCACGTTGAACTGAGGTCCGGGCTCTTCAAAGCCCAAATATCCCTGGTCATCTTCCATGGATTTGGTCTTCCGCAAGATCCCCCAAATATCCTGCCCTGGCATGGCAGTGTCGCACAAACGCAGCTTCACCAGACTCCATTTCATGTTAGCATCAAGGCAGACTGCGCGGAATTCCTGACCTGCTAACCACTTAGAAAAGGTGCCGAAAGCCTTCAGGTGATCCCGTTCCAACATGTGTCCTCAGAAAAGTCCTTCCAAGCATGTGGCCTGCCCTCCAAGGCCCCAAGCCTCGGTAGCCTCCGAAGAGCTGCCGCAAGCGTGGGCCCCGGCCGGTATCCTGCCATCCCGGGGCCTTGGATGTTTGGGGCAGACACTAAATCACGGCGGTGGTGGCACTATGGTCACCGATGTGACTTTAGCATGTAAGAACTGAATTAGCAAGAGGGGAACATCGAAACAGGTCTGTGTGCCGAACTGGTCTTGCCTGGCTTGTAGATACCCCCCTGCCTGCACGTGCCCCGTCGTTGTTCCCCATGCTTACTTAATGCCCACTTTCGCAGCAAGCTCGTGACGTTGCTAATATAGCAGGGGCTTCTGCAAAGACATCACTACTGTAGTGTACACTTGTGGATTGCCGACAGGAGTTGCAATCGACATCATAAGAGCAACTTCGCCCTGACACTACGAACAGCAATGCTCATCATGATGGGCCCTGCGATACGGGCGCCTTTAGCTGACCCGAACCCTGCCCCTACGGAGGCGGCTTTCGTGCGCTAGCAGAGGACATTGTGAAACTTAAGGAGGGCTGTTCATTGATTCTTCACTCGTCCCCTCGTTCTGAGAGCTTGAGATCATCCCGATATAAACCAAAACAAACATGTTTCTGTGCATGGAATGTCTGAGATTCCAGCAGTTCCGACGTAGATCAGTGCAGTCGAAATGCCTGTGACTCTACTGGTCGGTGTTTCTTCACACCCGCAGATGCAGCGATCTCTGCGCCAATACTCAGAATCACCTTCTACCTTCCACAACAGAAACAGTCTAACAGCTTTTGCTAGCCAAATCAACCCAAACATGCTCCCAACATCCGGCCTGTGCCCATGGTGCTCGGCACATGCCACACTTGAGCACGGTGAAAGCAGGGTTCGTGAGGATGTGCTAAATATAGAAACATCCAAGCAATGACGCAGTGCAGAAAACATGACGGGAAGCATCTCTTTTGTGTGACTTCGCCTCTCTGCAGATTCTGCGCACCCTGGCCCAGGGTGAGCCCGCAATTAAGGCTTTGTAGACGAGTAGCTGAGTATAGAGTGCGAACAGCTTACTTTCTCACTGACCAATGAACATGGCTCCTTTAGCTGGGGCTCGCTATTCGAAAGCAAACTTCAAGAGCTTTGTACAAGAACTAATTGTCCGCATGCGAGGTGAGCGTGACTGGTGCTGCGGCTTGTCCGCTGCAGAAGCCACACTTGACAATGAGCTGCAGAAGCTGCAGCACAATGCCTCGAATTGACTTACGGAAATCCTCATGTGGAACTTCAAACTTCCCGGTATTGGTTTTCTGACCGGAGGCGGCAGGCAACAACAACGAGTCAGTCGATGGTGGTGAGTTGTGCCGTCTGAGATCGTTTTAGCATCAGAAACACCGGCAATTCGATCCAAGTCAGAATCGTTGCACTGTACCTTTGGCACATACCCCGTCTGGAGACAGAGTGTGGTTGGGCATGAATGCCACTGCCTGTTCGGCAAGCCGGCAGATTTGCACGACGGCTTCCGGCCCGATGCGTGCATGACAGCTCCACATTCTTCACAACATCAGGACACACAAACTTCAAGCATCTCGAGAGCAGATCTTGGCACAAATAACGTCATGGTCGATGTGCCTGCTACATCGTGTGCTCATGCAGGTAGTGCGCACGTGTATCTTCAACTGCAGTCGCCCACATGCCATGCCAAGCAAACACCCGAGTGTTCAAGCTAAAGGCTTTGGGAAAGAGGGGCATTGCTGATGCTAATCTGACGATCGCCCGACTACTTGGCTGGGCTGTGCCAAACATCCCTGGCGCACTCTGACCCCAATGAGCCGATGAATTCGGATGATAAGATACCAGTTCTGCAATGCAGAATGTCCGCACCAATCGAGGTCCTCCCTCGGACATATCAACTTAGGTGCTGTAGCTCGCCCAAAGCACACCTCTTCGAGGTTCCCTGGAAGAGCCTACAGAACACACTTCAAGGTGTGCTGGTTCCGTGGCTTAGACAACTGCTCCAGCACACCCTCAACTCCAGTGGCGTCTTTTCATGGTTCGGGTTTGGCGGGAGTATTACAACGCCACAAGTCACACGGCCCCTCTTGGAGCGCTCACAATCTCCGTCTAGTGCTGGCTGTGCCTTGTCGCGACCAGGGTGAGCGATGTGCCGACCCTTCCCTCCGTGGCTGATCGCCCAGGCCTTTGGAGTCGGCCTCCTCGTTGGGCGAGGACGCTTCGCCCTGCCCGCTTCTCGAAGAAGTCCGAATGCGAGGAAGATAACTCACTGCTCTCGCTGCTTCATCACTGCGGGGAAATCCAAGTCCGCTCTTCAAGCTGCACACCTTTTCTTGGACAAACGCAGGGTTGCATTAGCTCCAGCAATTCATTGCCGCTTCTTCCGCGCTGAGATCCACGACTTTGGTAAGGCATGCCTGTTCTAAAGGTATTGTCGGGACTGGTATTGGACTGCTCATATCTAGGGGCGAGGGAGGCGGTAGACTGCTGGTGTGGGGGCTGGTTTGGACAGCAGACAAGCACAACTTGTCTCCGTGCCCGAGTATGATCAACCTTCCGAAGCCGTGCTCTGGAGCGCCTTGGCAAAAGGTTCTTGCCACCGATTTGCAACTCTAGGCCCCATGGCACAGATGGCGCCCTGCCACCCAGGATTTTCCACTGCGAATCCGGCATTAAGCTTTGCGAAGCCGACGTTCGCGAATGACGGCTGTGGGAGGGTCAGCTAGGCCAGGACGAGCAAAGCGTGCCAAACTATCCAGTTCATGCGATGGAGGCTGTGGAACAGGAGTCCCCCTCCCGACAGCCATTATGGTACAGGCATGTCACAGGTGCTGGTGAAGCTCATTGCTGGCCCTGGCCCGGCGGCAATGAATAGCTGGAGGTGTACGTCGCCGGAACCTGTAGCATCTAGTATGCGTCTGGGGGAAGTTCCGCCTACGAGCTTGCGGTGTGATGCATCAAAATCAATATGCAGCCAAGCAGCCGTGACCACTGGTGCGGATGCAGCAGGTGCAATGTGCACGGAGCCGCTGGGAGCAAACTGGGCCGGCAAAGTCGTCGTGTAGACCCGCGAACCTGTTATCAGCATGTCGAAGAACCCGGGCCGGCTGTTTATTGCTGTAAACGGGTGCCTGGACTTGCGACAGGCGGGGATGGGTACGAAGGTAGCTGGGTCGTGAAAGCAGCTTGCGGCGACGCTGGCGCTGCTAGGTAGGGAGTCGCCAAATACTGTCCTGAAGCAGCTGATTTGGAATGTAGTGCTGACATGGCATACACCGAACTGCAAGTCATTTCATGTGCCCCCCTGTCCAGAAGTCGAAATTGCAGAGGCCGAAGTTTGCAAGGGCAAGGATCCAGATTGAGCCTCAGAAGGGCTTGCCAGGCGACCACCAGAAGCATGTTTTCAACACGCTAGCCTAAGGTCAAAACCCCACACCCTTCCAGCCAAACTCGAGGCCTTTCGGCACTTATTGAATACAAGTCGCAGACTGTGGCAATTGCAAGTTCAGGTTTGGCATGGGCAGATGCGGCTCATCAAGGCCCGGAATCTTGATGGAAGCGCCTGTGCACGGTATCATGGGAGTCCAAAACGAGCGACGGCCTCTCCAGCCCACACACATCTCAAACTCCACGCTCCGATCTGATGACCTTCCCTGAATCCTTCTGAAAGCATCCGCTCGCTGTCACCTGCTTTCGAGGACCTGTCTTGAAGCCCAAACCCGAAGCTCGATCCCGTTAATTCGGGACGAAGACAAGGACGTGAGTCATACAGAAGCTGCCTGTGGATGCCAGGCGGTCCGGCATTGCTTGCCCGGCCATCGGCGGATCCGGTGGTGGCGCCTTCTGACGGCAAAGGAAAAGAAATGGTCTTACACATCTTGCACCACTTCGCAAATTATTGGCACGGAGAACCATTCCACGCGGAGCACTGGCGATGATTCTGACGTCCTCTGCGCACGCCCCCTCTTTTGGTAGATGATTGGCTGCCGAGATAAGGTTCAGATTCATCAACCCGGAATCTGAAAGATAATGCTAAAATTTGTGCCCATCTCAGACTGCTACTAAATTGTTTAGCTTATGCCCAGGAGGCCCAATGCTGCATTCCTCGAAGCATTTCGATGTCCCGGTTCTGATTTGAGGATTACTCGCACTTGAGGCGAGATGGGCTCTCTGGGTAGCACAGCCAGTGGCGGATCCCACGGCCTCGTATGCCATGACGCCACGCGCGGGTGGGCCGCCGTAGTCTTGCCCGTAGCCGGCCATGGCCGGGTCCTAATTCAGCTACCGAGATTTAGAAGGACTCGAGACCACGTTGTTCAACGTGATTCGGCGAGATTTGATGCAGGGTTTCATTTCCTGACCATTTCCCCTCTCGAAGACTACTGCCCATTAAATTTGGAAGCAAAATCTCCTCATGGTAGCCAGCCTGTCCACGCGGGGGGATGTCCTCGAATGGCGGCATCTCCTGAGCGCTGTATAGATCACATCGTGCAGTACTACTTGTCAATAGTATTTGTGAACATGAACGGAGAGAGAGCGAGAGAGACACAGTGCGAGAGCGAGAGAGCGAGCAAGGAAGGGAGGGAAGGAGGGACGGAGGTGGCGAGAGAAACAACCCCCCTCCACACACACACACACACACACACGCACAAACCTATCTGTCTATCTATCTACCTGCGTACGCACAAGTACCTATCTACATATGCATGCATACATACATACATACATGCATACATACGTACATGCATGCCTACGGGCCTGGCTGGCTGGCTGCCTGCCACTTACTCGCTGACATATCATATCAAACCAAGTCTTATCACATCTCGTCACGTCATGCCACCTCATATCATATCACACCAAACCTGTTACATGTTCTTTTTGCCCACGAACACACACTGACACACACACGCACACAAGGGCAAACAGCCACAGACGGACATCCATCCGTCCGTCCATACGTACACACACACATACCCGCGCAGGTAGGTAGACATGTATGAGTTCACGCTTCTGCTTACATGCTTATGTATATGTATCAGTCCGTACAGATGTACATGCACAGGCGCCTTTGAAATCATTGATCGCCAGCTGGGACTGCATTGACCCACTGGCTAAGAGTGAACTGAAGTCTATCGCAACACCAGAAGCATAGAAGAGCATGCAGCTGCCTGATCGTGCTCTTCATCATCGTCACCCTGATCGTCCTGCATGGGGCATGCGGCCAGGGGCCAGCCGAGACAATGGGGTTCAGCACAGAAACCCAAAAGTCAAGCACTAGGAACACAGAGTCACCGAAACAGCAGAGCACACAATGGCTTCGTTACAAGGATAGCTACCAGCAAAAGAGCGTCACCGCATGGGTCTAAGTATACTGTGTGAGAGGTCTTTCAAAGACGATGTGCGACACCCCAAGCTACCCTTGTGAGGGCAATTCCTTGATGCGCTCCTTCAGCATCTCCGCACGACGATTGCCCCCACGTCGCCGATAGCCTTATTACAGTCGAGCCCGTGTCGCACGACTGGAGCAGGACCTTTTGGCAGCAATCCCAGTGCCGACGCCGATGTTTCAGCTGCCAGGATGCGATTCCAAAATTGTCGACGTCTTCAAGCACCCCTGCTTAGCAGAGGGACACTTCTAAAATCTGTACAGCTGGAGATCGCGTACCGAGGCCTTCGGCACCTGACATGTAGTCTTCGATAGCATTATGCGGCTGGTGAGGTTTTGCCTAGTGACTGCTGCAGGTCCATCTGTGGATCAGAGCCATCAGCTACAGAGCATGAAGGCTGCGTCCATAGGAGCGGCCCAAAACACTTAAGGACACCGTGCCGGTGGTGGGAGATTGGGGGTTGCCCACGGAAGTTTCGTCGCCCACTCGATTCGATGTGCTGCGAAGGATCAAGCGGTTTGGCCTGAAAAACAACAGCAGGTGGAGCTTTCCAGCTTGCGTCTTTGCCACCTCCACACGACCTGAAATTCTTGAATGCTGATTGCTTCCGCAGTAGATTTTAATCCGGCGAAAGAACAGGATGATGTTGTTGCCTGTGTCTTCTGAAGCTCCATGGAAGACATGCATTAGCATGTGGAGCCCTTTTGGCGCAAACAAGCTTCCCAACTGCACTCCAGCAAGATGTGCCACGGTGGGCGATGCGGCCATCACATGCAGTTCGGCCATGTCGATAAGCAGAACGACAAGGTCATCTGTGGACCTGGTAGACGCTGCCAGGCTGGACACTGTTCGATGTCCAGATTCTGAATCACTGAAGCTTCTGGCATCATCCCTCTCCGCTTCCTGCCAGGTAGGCGAAGCAACAGAATCCGGGAACCCCTCAGCTGTGGAGTCGGTTGCGTGTGAAGTGTCCATGGTATCGAAAGCTTTCGGCCCCGCCAGAGACCCCTGGTCAGTGAAGTCTCGCAAACCAAGCAGATGATGGACTGCGCCGTCTGCTTGCCTGTATGTAACCCGGAACACCTCCGTCCGGAACTTGCTTGAGCAGCTATCCATGAGGCGAGTGTGGAAGACATTTGCAAGAATACTTTCATCTTCCGAGACCGCGGAGACCTCTGTACCGCTCGCAGTCCCTGCCAAGATCTCATAGGCACGTACCGCCTCATGGCTCGTTGGCATGAGGTCGGTGAATTTCAAGCCTTGCACGGAGCCAGGCCGATCTCTGAGTAGCATGGCTGCCAGCTGCGGAGAGTTCTCTGTAATGCAAAGATCTGAGTCGAGCTCAACAAGCGCATCGCATGTCAGGCGCAGCAAAGAGGAAACTGCTCCGAGTTGGGTTGTGATGCTCTTGTACCGTGCTTCATGACGCACCTTTTGATGCAAAAGGCCGTGCAAGAGAAATGCCATGCCAACTGCCAGTCCAAAACTAAGCACCTCACCGCAGAGAATCGTGTAGGCTGAATCGAAAATGTCGCATTCTGGAAAAGCCCCGTGGGCTTTCCTACGCCTCTGACCTCTTGCCGAAGGTGCTCCAGCAGGAGGTGCACTGGTGCTCACAAACATGAGGACGGTGATGCCAAGGTTGCAGACGACTACAAGATACGTCCTGGATGCTAGCAGAACTGCAGGGAGTCGTATACAACCGAGCAATGCAAAAGATGCATTCAGGGTCTGCGCAGGTGTCACGCACAAAGGTGACAGGTAAATGGCGCAAAAGGCCATGTGTAGGACGTAAAATGCATCCATTGTGGATGTACACAGAACCCTTGGGAAAAACAAATAGGCTAGGTTGACCAAACACAGCGCAAGGGTTGTCCAGTAGGCACCAGCCAGCAGCCAGCCGTGCTCCAATGCACTGAAACGTGCAGCTACCAAAATAAACTGCGACACCACCACACAGGCGATCATGTAGTAGGGTGCCATCCCCAAACGCTGCTGTCGAACAGCTTCCACCCGGGCCGTTTCCTCCGTGCTTCTGCTGGAAAGTCGTGGTTGACGCATGCATGTCCAAACGGCGTGTGCGGTTTCCTCAACTTTGCCTTGGATAACCTGCCTATGCGAGAAGACTAAGCAAAGAACCCTGATCCCGAAAAGGATGTTGACTCCAAGTGCCAGTGTCGCGAACTGCGGCACGCCGGTGCTTGTCGCCATGGCGAACCGGCTACGCAGTTAAAATCAGTTAAATCTCCCGAACACGCACAGATTGCATCGCCGCACTGACTGCTGCTTCTATTCGGGATCTTGGGCCGGTCGGGAGATGCCATGATGCCATGCGAACGGGATTGCCTGCTTCGGCCTCCTGAAATGCAACGTGCAGCTTCCTCGGCCCTTCTGCAGACAAGCGTCTGTAGATCGCCAGGCCACAGCATGCTCCGAGAAGAAGCAGCACCAAAAGCGAAATGACCTCGGCATTCTGCTCTACCATTCAGACGTGGATGCCTGCTGAACAGTGGGAGATAGTGGGAGATACTGCAAAGGGAACTTGAAGAGCGTGTTAGCGCTCGGGGCTCAAAGCACAACAAGACCTTGCCGTGCTCTGGGGCTGCAGCCCAGGGCAGCCAAGGCTTTGCTTGACAGGCGCCGCTGTTGCGAAACTCCATCACATGCAAAGCAATGCCTCAACACGTCACTCCCTCGCTACTTGGATTGGGCGCCAAAAGCTACATGGCTGCAGCACTCTCGAATATCTCAACACTCTCTCGCCTTGATGTGCGCCCTCAGCAAATCGGCTAGGAGGATGCCGCAAGTCACACATGTCCTTGGCTGCATATAGAACCTACATCAGTTCGCGAGCTGGGCTAGCGATGTGCTCCCAAAAAAACATCTTTGCGTCGTGCACGAGGCCAAGCTGCAGTAACTCAAGTCCGCACTTGCAGCAGGAGAAGCTTTCGGACAAAAAAAAGACAAAGTCAAGGCTCGAAACACGCTTGTCCACTGTCGCTGGTGCCAGAGACCACGCACATGCCCTGGCCACTAGCAATCTTGAATCTGTGTCGGATCTCGTCGCTGCACAGCTCGCCTGCGGGCAGGGCTGTCAACCAAAGGCCTAGATTTCTCATGAATCTTAACCAACCTTTATGGATGCTACCCGGGGCCAGCCTGGTGGACACTTCTGCATGGAGTCTTGCAGACCCAGCTCTCTGGGGCAAGTAACGTTGTTGTTCAGTCCTGCCCGGACCTGGGCCACCATGGCCTGGCAAGTGCTCCCCTACCGCGTCTCTCCACCTGGCACTCGTGCCGGATTCCTAGAGTCCCCAAAGGCCTGGGAAATGTGGTTGGCCAAGTCCCCCTCACCGTTTCCATTCACTGTGTAGTCTAACGGCTGATGGTTCCTTAAGTGACGAAAGCATGGGCATCACATTGCACCCCTAATGCAGGGCGGCAACTGAGGCAGCCCTAAAACCCCATGTCTCTCCCAGCTCATCTGGGCACCTGCGTGAGGACCGCGTTGCAGGCAAGTTTCGGATTGCAAACATCATAACCTCACCGCACTCACCGAGCTTAGAGGTGAAGGCGAAGCATCCTAGCTACCCCCGTAATACAATAGCCGCCGGGCAACATGCTGAGCCAGGGCCCTCTTCGTCTGCTGGCATCGAGACCGTGGAGACACAGAAGCCACGATTTGGGAAGTTGCCCTGGAGCTTACAAGACCTGAGACAAGGGAGGGGATCATCAACACTCAAAACAACTCATGTGTAAGCCACGTGCTCAGAACTCAGAAATGCAGAGGGCATCAAAACCCGATGCAACATCAGGGAAACGTGATAAGAACGTAGATAGGCTTGGGAGGACACACATTTTGATCCGCCAGCTGTATGCGTAAGAACAACTACTCTGAGCGGTGGCTGCCATGTGCTCACACAGGGTACCATCGTATGTAGCTCTAGGGAAAAGAATCTCCAACAGCTTCTAATGAGTGAGCTTCAGGCATTCCTGTTTTGGGTATATGGCACCCCCCACCCCCAACCTACCAATACAACATGACAATGTATGAACACATCCTGTTCACACTCTAGAACCCCAATAACCGTATCTGCCTCGGTGCCATAGCCCAAAACGTGAATCGGGGTCCGTAGAATTTGGTTCAGGGTTCGGGGCCAAGGGTTGCTCGGACGCGGACGCTCTAGCCTCTTTTGCAACTGTCGCCCCTGTCCCATGAGCAACGGCTTCGCCTCATCTTGTCATCGAACAGTTTACAGCGAACATAAACCAAGTCCCAATCCTCGGACTCGTGGCTCTTCCACTTGCATGTCCTGCCTCCGTCGAGATTATTTTTTTGACAGTTGTATTGTTCTCCTGCCCAAACATCGGAAGAAAATCAGGTCCCATTGCTCCTGCATGAGGAGCGGATTCATAAGCACACCGTAAGAGTGTAGAAATGATATTAACTCGTAATTGGTTTCATGAAAATCTTAGGGGAATGCAAAACCTCTTTGCATAATCTCGCATTATGAAACCATGTATTGTCTAATAGTATAGTGCCAATAAAGATAAATGAGATGTTAGTTGGTTTTGACCCATATATATATATATATACATATATATATATATAGAATGCACCAGATGTGAAGACAGTGAGAAAATTTTTATCGTTGTAAACAATTGAAAGATATCAGTTGTTTCAAACGAACATACTGTGTCAGTACACACTGTGTCAGTACACAATGTTAAAGCTCTGTTAAATGCACCTTGACTTGTTCAGAATGCTTGGATAGTGGGCAGAGTCTACACTTAAAGGAATGTTACCTCTATACATATACATATATATATATACATATGAACATATTAAGTGATAGAAGGAAGGAGATATTGCAGTAAGTGTCAGATAATGCAGAAGATTCAGAAATTTGAAGAGGACTATAAGACTCCCAATGTATGCAGAGAAAACGCAAAGAGATATCAGCAAAGACACAAAGACATACCCACGACAGAACAAAGACTACTACGCACAGAATCCAGAAAAGTTAAAGAGTGGAGACAGAACCGCTTCAATAGAATCAAAACGAGGTTGTCACATGTCCTGCTTGCAAAAACGAAATAAACAAATACAAACAAAACAACACGAAAAGGCACAAGCACATAGTATTTCATGCATAAGCCAACAGATCCAGATTGTGACAAGGATGTTCTCAAACCCAGACAAATTCAGAGGAATAAACGGCAAGGAACACTACAGTTGTAAACCTTGCCGTTCTTGCTACTCAGATGTGGACACGACATTTTAACAAACCGCCACGATTGAAACCAGTAATTATAATTACAACGCAAAAGCAGTTATATATCATAATTACGTTAGATTTGTACCTCTTAACCCAAAACCCTGAACCAAATTCTACAAGACCCCCATTCCCGTTTTAGGTTGTGGCACTTGGATAGATATGGTATTGGGGTTCTAGTGTGGATAGGGTTTTTTTCACATATTGTATTGTTAGGTTGGGGGGTTAGGGGGTGCCATACACCCAAAACGGGAATGCCCTAAGCTAACTTAATTTTACTCCAAGGCGCTTCATAGTGAAGCACTGCCCCGTCACATCCGGGCTGTAGTATTGCGTCAGCGACGAAGAGTTGATCGTGGTCGCAACTGAACGGGCCCAACTGTCTGCATCTACCCGTAAGTCTAAAGTTCACAACGCACTAGTGGCCATGCCCGGGACATGCAGGCTGCAGCATGGAATATGCAGGCCTTGCCCATTGCTTGGCAGAGCAGATGCCAAGATCCACAAGGCCCTGGGCGAATGAAGTGTGGTGAGAAAGTTTTGTCGCAAAAACTATGCTTCCGGAATTCCTGCGGATTGTCATAGCTCCACCGACCGCAATTCCAACATGTTCTATGGGTTGACCCAAGTTGAAACCTGGATTGATTCACCCAAGGTGCCACTGTCTGGCCAGGGGCCTCTGGGCGTCCCCCATGTCTCTACTTTGGCCCTGCTGTCAGGGCACTGCAGATTCCTATTTGAGCTGTAAGCAGCGGCAGGCAAGTGAATCAGGACCATGATCACTTCAAGCGCAGGTCAGATACAGCTAATGAGACGGACCGAACAAAGTCTCTGAGCAACTCCTTTATTCACCAACCCCAAACTCCCACCCAACCTTTAAAGCCGCCGCCACGAGGAAAGGCAACCTCGCCATCTCCCGGCGCAAAGCAGTCAAAGTCTCGCCCTGGTGGCTCAGCGGGAGCGCTAGAGTCTCACGCCTCCTACATGTCTGATGATGCTCACCAGTCTCTTTAACAATTGGACCGTGGTGGCGGTGGCGCTTGTCTTCTTGGTCGTCGCAGTAGTCGCGGTGGCGGTGGTGATGGTACTGGTGCACCAGTAGTACCACTAGTAGCAGTGCCAGTTTTTTTCCAGCAGTAACAATGCCAACAGCAGCAGCAGTGGCAGCCGGAGCAGGACCAGGAGCAGCAGGAGCAGAGCAGTCGAAGTCGCAGTCGGCGTCGTCGTCGTAGTAGTTGTCGTCGTCGCAGCAGCCGTGGTGGCAGCGATAGCGGAAGCGGTATGTAGTAGCAGCCGTCGTCGTAGTAGTAGCAGTACGAGTACCAGTACTAGTAGTAGTGCTAGTCGTCGCCGGCGTCGTAGCGGTAGTAGTGGTCGTCGTTTTGTCACCCACTTGGCACGCCAAGGACAGCACTGCAGGGTGTTGACTAGTGGTCGTCGTCGTAGGTTTAGTAGTAGTAGTAGTAGTAGTAGTAGTAGTAGCAGCAGTAGTAGTCGTAGTCGTAGTCGCAGTAGTATTAATTGCAAAAGTAGTAATATTAGCAGAAGTAGTAGTAGTAGTAGTAGTAGTAATAGTAGTAGTAGTAGTAGTAGGAGTAGGAGTAGGAGTAGGAGTAGGAGTAGGAGTAGCAGTAGCAGTAGCAGTAGTAGTCGTCGTCGTCGTAGTAGTAGTAGTAGTAGCAGTAGTAGTACTAGTAATACTAGCAGTACTAGCAGTACTAGTAGTACTAGTAGTAGTAGTAGTAGTAGTAGTAGTAGTAGTGG